CATCCATCCATCCATCCATCCATCCATCCATCCATCCATCCATCCATCCATCCATCCATCCATCCATCCATCCATCCATCCATCCATCCATCCACTTCTGCACCACCTCCAGGCAGTGGAGCAGGGGGTTGGAATTCCCTAAGTCATCTCTAGAACTCTTAATCACCTCTGGAAATTATGCTGTCTGCAAAAGGACCTCGAGCAGCATAGGTTGGGTGCAATAACACAAAGTCTTTATCTCTGGACACACAACTTAACAGTGCAGGAAAAGCGCAGCAGAAAAATAAGCCAGTCTTTTAATCATGTTTTACTGCATGACCCCAGCTCTGGAAAGATAAAATTGACTCAGGATTTGCATAATCTGCTGGACAGAATGAATGCCCTTTGCTGTTTATTCTATTTCCTCCCATTTGACATTAGAGAGGTTAATAACTCTCATTTTCCTATGATGTCAAATACTTCCACTCCATCACCCAGGAAACTTTGTTTAACAGCTTTAATCATTCACAATCAGGGTGTTCACTGTATATTTGGCATTTTATTTTCATCAGAAGATTTCCAAAGGAAAATTGCATTTCAACCAGGATCCTGGAGCCAAAATAAATCTCCAAGATTTATATCTGAGCCTATGAGATCACACTTACCATAGTATTTAGAAAAAAAAAAAAAAGATCCCATATTCAGCAAAGTATTTGTTTTGTTTGTTTTGGTAAATGAGTAACCAAATAATTTCAAGATATTCATGGCACCAAAAGTCATTTGTGTCGTGTGAGTCAATACATAGCTGCTGAGTCAATGTACCACAAAACTCAGCTTTTTAACAGAAATTATTAGTCAGTGAGTCAAGAGAATAAATGAATTAGCAGGGAGCAAGGTCTAGTCTGAGATAAAAAATGATCACACTTCACGTTTTACATGGGTGAAGTATCAAGCCTACCTTGTGCCTTGACCCTTTCTGACTCTTTTTACCTCTTTTTGAGGTAACAGAGGTGCCAGACACTTCCAGCCCAGGCCAGGTGCAAGGACAAAAGATGCATCTGCAGGAGAGAAGGTGGCTCTGCATCACATGCAGCAGCACAGAATTTCAGCTGGCATTTCTAGGTCAAATAATCCTCTCTGGAACTTGCTTTTCAGGAACACAACCATCTCCCTTTTGACAGCAGACAATTGCATGGTGTCCATTGATCCCACTATGCCTACAAACACAGAGAGGTAAGCCCTGCTGCCACCTGCTCCCCAAAAACAGGGTCAGGCCCAAGGGAGAGGGAGCTGGTTGCCTGCAGATGCCTTTTGTGTGCAGTGGGATGTGAGCAGCTCCCCAGAGGGAGGGGGGTGACAGTGAGAAATGCGTGCTGGCCTGTAACACTAATGCTAGTTTGGATTGTTGGAGCAGGAGTAATTGTCTGAGGAAAAAACACTGCTTTTAGTTATTTAAAGTAGAGTATCTGTTCCCTTCCCTCCCTGTTTGCTGTCAAAGCTTGGAGCTCCTTTGTTCCCCCGCTCCTGAYTGCTGTTTTTTTGAAAGCAAAACTGAACTCTATGATGAGTTTAGGTCTCCTCATTGCTGCCTTTGGCCCATATTTTTTTATGACTGATCACTGTCATTGCTCTTATTGATGCCATGGGAAGGAGCTCCAGCTGTTGCGGGGGAGCTCCTGCACAGGACAGTGCATGAACACAGAACAAAAAAATGCTGTCCTTAACTCTTAAGAGTTATTAACCCCATCCCTGGAGGTGGCCAAGGACAAGGCTCTGAGCAATCTGGGACAGTGGAAGGTGTCCCTGTGCAGGSCAAGGGGTTGGACCTGGATGGTYTCTAAGGTCCCTTCCCACTCAAACCTTYCTGTGATTCTGTCTCTAGTAAATCAGAGGGTCATGTGTTCAGAAAAAGTGYCCTTTGCTTATTCAAACCCTCAGGTTTTAAGAGAGYTTAGAATATAWTAAAAAACTTCTTCTGACTTCTCARGGAGTGTGGATATGAAATACAAACTGCATTTTGATTTTTGCTAACATCAACCCTCTCTGACTCTTCCAGGTCTCCATACAAAGTGATACCTGTTGTGACTGAGCAGCTCTCAGGTAAACTGACTCTTTTGAACTGAACCTACTAAAGCTGAATTTACTGGAGTTGAATTTGCAGGCATTTGCAYGTGAAAATTATGTGGCCATGATGCAAAAAAAACCCAAATATGTCAGTATCATGGTTCTAGCTGCAGCAGAATAAGAAGTGTTTGATCACAGTGCTCTGCAGGAAAGCTTTAAAAATGTACCCAAATATCAGTGRATTTGAGGGTGAGGTGAATGTCTGAGGTCCAGGGGACTTTCCCAGTGCCTTGCTCTGATCTTGCTCAGCACCCCAATGCCCTRAGGAAAGTTTTGCATGGAGCAATGGGGTTTTTTTCAGGCAAGATAAATGAAAGCCTGTCCTTCAGTGTTTTGTTAAAYTTGTTCACTCCTCAGCAAAGCTCTGCTGGAAAGCTGAGCTCAACATTTGAGCCCCGTGTTACTTCCATATGGCTGAGGAGAGAACATAATTTCTGTTGTGGGCATGGCAGCTCTAAGTGTGATAAATATTTCAATACACCTGACAAGATTAAAGAAGGCTTGGGTGAAAGAACACACCTGGAGCACATTCCCAGACACAGCACTGCAGGGATGGGGTGTCACCCCTCCCACATCCCTTTGCCCGCCAGTATCATGCTCAGGCTGGCAGCTCTCAAACACTGGAGCAGAACATTTGCTTGGGGCAGTTCCTGTCGAGCATCTGGCTCGTGGTTTCACTCATCTGTGCAGCTGCAGTGTCTCCTGCCACTCACATCAGGGCAGCCTGAGCCTGTGCCACAGCTCTGGAGCCACAGGGAGAGGCTGGCTGCTGTGGCAGGGCTGCAGGAGGACAGGTGACATCAGATGGGGACACTATTTAGGGAAGTCAAATGGGAAGACAGGAGAGACAAAGAGCAAGAGGTTAAGATTGACCTGGAAACACGGGGTTCACAGGCAGAACAGGAATGAGACAGAAAGCTTGGGGCTGGAAAACRTAGTGAGCAGGAATGGGTGAGTCTGCTGGGACAGGAGAGACGAGGTTTTGATGGTCCCAACTCATCTTCTTGCTTAGAGTCCTGAATTATTCAAAAAAATATAGTGTCTGACAGAACTGTCTTCTTCTGGAAGAGGAGGCACAGGGAACTGAGGCCATTCTGTGAGGCATCTGCCTTGGCAGGAACATCTGAAAAGGAGGATGAGTGGAAGACACAGAGGCAGCAGCAGGGACATTGTGCGTGCAGGGAGCAAAGGTGAACAGAGAGCAAAGAGAGCACAGAGGGTAGGAACAGGGAAGAGCTTAACCACGATAGGGTTTGTGAGAAGCCATAAACAAGGTCCCATGTCAGTGATTGCCAGAAGGAGGTAGTCAAAGCCAAAGGACACGTGTGACTGAGAAGGGTGAGAAGCTGTCTGCCAAACTATTTCCTTATTGTGACCAAGTCTGCTGCAACAGCATCACTCTGCTGGTCTGGGAGCACCCTGTTTGCATTATCACATCGGGAAAGGTGGGGTGGAGCACGTGGCTCTGTGTTCAGCTGGTGTGAGTAACCAGTCTGCATTTGCCCCATGACAGAGAAACGGGGCCAGCCCGGCTCCAMCAGGGAATGCCACTGAGTTATGCCAGCTGGGAAGATGATTGAGGGGCTTTCTAGAAAATCGTCTCTTCTTTTGATTCTTTTTTTAAAATTCCCCTAACATGAAGCTAACAGTATATTTTTATAACACCRTGGATGACTTTTTGCACTCTCCCAAAGCCCTCATTTTTCATCCCCAGCTGACAGCACATGGCTCTGCTTTGTGCAGAGCACAGCTCACTGTGTCAGCAAGATCTCTCTTCCCTCCCTGCATTTTATGAAACAAGGATTTCCAAAGATCTGAGCTTAAAAGGGCAAGAAAAAATCTGGCCATAGATTATCAAAACAGAAGACAGAGTCTGCTATGGAAAGAGAAAGAAAGTTGAGCTGAGTGTGATGGAACTAATGTTCCTTAGTATCTTTTTCTCTTTCACATGGCTTGTCATTAATCTTAAGCATTCCTGACATTTTGCTGACAGTAGGAAGAATAAACAGAGTGGTAAATTGTTCCTTTTCATTAAAAGAAAAAAAAAAACCAGCTCTGTTCTCATCTTCACTTCTCAGACAACTCTGCCTGCGTGATTCTGCTTCCCAAAGCAACTCACCCAAATACGTGCCAGAAAGGGGGTCACCCTAATTTTCACAGTGGTGGGAGGTAATGCAACTCTTTTCAGCAGTCTCCCAGGCAGCTGCAGAAGAATGGAACACACTGCAGTGAGCAGAGGCTGTGAAAGGTGGGACTSGGAAATATTATCCTTCGGGAGGAAAATTATAAGCAGTGGCTTCCATCCAGCAGAGRAGACATCCACCGGAGTCCTGCTAAGAAACAATTCTTCATTTCCTGGCCATAGTCATGGGAGAGGGTTGGAAATAAAACAATGATTATTCCAGTCAGTGTGGGATGCAGCAGCGATCACTGTGTCAGGGGTCAGTTCYCTGCAAGGGTTAGGGTGAGGGTGAGGGGAGGCCTGAGCTGGCTGGCTCTGAGCCTGTGGAGCTGCTGGATCACATCCTGTCCCTCCTTCTGTCGCCCTGGACCAGAAGGCACATGGTTATTCCAACACAGCATCAACACCCCCATGCCAAACCCTTCTCTTTTGGGTGTTTCTGTTTCCAAAGCCAATGAGTGAGCATCCTCTCCCTCCCAAAAACAGAATGGTTCTGCTCTGTGTCCTCCTGGTGGAACTGGCTCAAAACTCACACGCTGATGGCTGTGTTGTGGTTGTAATTATCAGGGTTCAGACACTCTGCAATTTGATAGAGATGACAATTAAATGAACAGACTCTATTATCAACATGCTCTTGAGGAATTAATTTGAAGTCTGTTCTGTTTGTGATAGTGCAGAGAAAGGRGTTGTTGGGGAGGTCAAGCGAGCCTGACCCACTGCGGTGACGAACAGGCAGGGGAACGCAGACAGGGATTTTTCTACCCCTCCAAAGTTAGGGCAGTGACGGCACCAGAGATCTGCAGGGATGCTTTTCCCCCCTGGATGATTTAATATCTGAGATCTTGTGCAGATTGGCATTGGTAAAACGACAGAAGCTTGTCACTGTGTCTAAGTCTTCTTATTCTGGCATCTCCTCTTTTCAGAGTCTTGTTCATGCTTGCAGCTCAGGCAAGACTGAGGAGGCAGAGACTGGGAGAGAAAAATCCTCCTCCCACCTGCTGCTCCTGACATGCATCCCACATGGATGAGTGCATCGGGATGTGGCCTCAGGATTGCTCACCTGCTGGGGAATTTGCATGCAACAGCCCAAATTAGCCTGAGCTGCTACGTGGATCTGGGGCTCGATGTGACAGATTAATGGACATGGGCTCGGGCTTGAAGCTCAGCCCTTYCCGAGGCTTTTGTCCACCTGGCTGCTTGTGGGGTTGTTTTTTTTTTAATTACTCTGACTGCCTAGATCCAAACAAACCACRGAAAGCGAAATGCAGACGGAAGTCTCAGCCAGAGGCAGAAGCATTTGTGAGAAACAGGGCAGGAACTTACCAGCCTGCGGCTGACAAGGAAAAGGAGGTGTCCATGCCCTCCCAGCCCTGCTTGGCCACAGCAGAAAAGGCAGGGGGAAGCCAAGGCACCCCTCCAAGCCCACATACGCCCTGCCTGCAGCCTACTGATGCCGGCAGGATGGCAAGGAGAGCCAGGGAGAGTGGGAGGATGGAGGAGGCTCCCTGGCCGAGATCCCAGCGGGTGATAGGGCAGAGGAAGAGGCGCTGCTGAGCAGAGCAGTGTGAGGCAGAGGGTACCTGCYGTGGATAATGAAATATCTGTGCCAGAGCAGGCTCACCTGAGCTGCTCCGCGAGCACCCGGTGCCGGTCTGGCAGCGAAGGTGCGCTCTCCCTGCCAGCCCCCGATCCGGCCACGGCGGGAGCCGCAGGAAAAAATGCTGCTGCTATGTTCCCCCGCACCTGCTCTCTTCCCAGAACCTGCTGGGAACAAGGCAGAATGGCTCCTTTCTCCATGGTGTCCCAGCCAAGCTCTCTGCTGAGCTTGGCAGGAGCCATCGGGCAGAGAGCCGCAGTCCCTGTGCCCGTGGCGAGCTGGGGAATGAGCCATGGGAAGGTTGGGGAAGCCTGAGCTCTCCTGGCCCCTGGCCATCATTAACCATTTCGGCATCTCCTGCAGGGGGGGTKCCAATTGTCATTTGTCAGCTGAGAAACACCCTGAGTGCTGTGCACAAACCCGACATGCTGAACATCTGCATTTGCCAGCATTGCGCATTGACGGTGGTGGTGGGAGAGGAGGGGAGAAGAAAGGTGCTGGGTTTTTTGGGGATGCTACAGCAGGACCCTCAGCAAGGGGCCCAGAGTTGCTGCCAGAGCTGCTTGCAGTAGGATTTCCTTTTCACAGAGGGAATGGCAGCAAAACAAATGAAGTAATCCGAGGGGAAAGGTGTCCGTGTGCACCTGGGGTATCAGCCCTGCCCAGGGATGTRAAAAAAAGAAGGCAGAGGGCAATGAAGGGAGCAAAAACACACTTAACCCTCCTGTTCTACAAAGGAGAGGAAGAGGGAGGCTAAATGATGTCAGGGCAATGTCTCATTTTCTTCAGAAACAGGGGTTACCAGAGGTCTTCCCCCTGGAAAGGAACAGGGTAGAGAAATGGATCTTTGTCTCTTTAAGATGAGACGAACTGCCACTCTTAGTCATATATCTTTACTGCACCCTAGGGTTATAAAAACAYACATCTTCATTTTGAGAGTCTTTTATTACATCCATAAACATTACATTGCAGCTGACTGTTCCCTGGATGAGAATTTCCTAGTACTCCAAGGGAGTTTTGACAGAGGGAGGGAGTGAAAGTAAGATCGTTGGGGTGGTTTTTTTTTTTTACTGGAACAGTGTTTATAGGGAACTTGTCAGTCTCTGGCACGCTCCAGGCACTGTCAGAGGGCTGAGCAGCATCGAAGGGAGAGGACACAGGTTTTTCTCTGCTTTTCTCTTTCGGACTCCGTGCCATCCCAGGTGCTGCACACGGTAAGTTTTCCTCCTCTCTTAAACAGGACACGGAATTTGCTTTGTTTCAGCACTTGGGTTTTACGGGAAACCTGGAAAATGGGTCTCTGTGAGAAGAATTAATCTCTCCATTTTCTCTGCTAGCCGCTCGGCTGGGAGCTGGGAAAAAAAAAAAAAAAAAAAAAAAAAAAAAAAAAAAAAAAGAAAAGAGGGAATTAGATTTGAGACTTTCAGAGCACAGAATGCTTGCTCCAGTTTTGAGACACGGGGGGGTGAAAGCCAAATTGCTTTGACCAGCAGTGTGAATGCTCTTGACAAGTATTGCTGACATCTCTAATACCTCAGGAATTGCAAATCCTTTCAACAGGTACAAGAGCTATTATTTAGAAATAAATGGTAAATGCTGGGCTGTTTTTCTGTCTGATGTGCTTTGCCTGGGTGATTGCACTTGTGAGGCATGGTRTTCCCTCAGGGAAGGACAAGATGTATCTGCAGGAATGCCATCGGGGTGTTCCTGGGTAGGGTATAAATAGGTGCTCTGTAATCTGCAGTGTGTTTATGAGTGCACTCAATGTTTCCTTTCCTCGAGCRTAAGGAACTAAGAGCACATCCCCAGTGCAGGAACAACTGCAGCACAGAGCAGTTTGCATCAATAGCTGGTGGGGGAAACAGGGAACAATCCCAAAGCAGCAGCTCAGGGCTCAGCAAAGGAGATTTATGCTTCCCCTGCCTGTGTGGACACAATAAAAGATGGGAAAACATTACTGTGGTATTTGTTCCTTCCTAGAGTGTACTTTCCCTCGAAATCTAATGTCCTGTTTTGAGGGACTGTTTGCTTTTCCCTGTGTTAGTGAGTGTCCTGGGATTGTCCTGGGAGGAGGCTGGGGATTCATCAGGCTGACCTTCCTGAGCCAGAGAAAGATCCCAAGCTGAAGCTGCTGCAGGCGCTCAGGAACACCAGGATCCTGGCAGGATCCCTGTGGCTGCTCTGTCCAAGCTCAAGGGACAAAGGAGTTGGGAAACTTGTACCCTGCTGTRTCCATCCCACAAACCAAGGCAGGCAGACCTCATTCTGCAGGGACAGCAGCTTTGGCATCTCACGTTTTCCTGGAGCTTATGCATGGCAGCTCAATCCTTAGGAGTTTGCACCAGAAAAAATRTCTCAGGATAAAACTGAAAGGCAGGCTGGGTTTTATTTTGTGTTCATGAGATGTGGTGTTGTGCATGAACACTGTCACAGTGTGCTGATGGTGTGGAGACACTGATTGTGAGCAGAGCTATCAAACCAGTTGTGGTTYGGGGTGTCCCGCCCAAGATCTGTGAAAGGGGTCTCCTCTCCAGAGAGTGCTGCCTTCAAAGAAGCTGCCTCTCACAGAGACCCAGCATCCCAAAAATAAAACTTCTGAGACACCTTGACTGTGATCTGCAGGAAGAGAAAGTGGGTGAGACAAGGAGTGATTCTCAAACCCTGACATTGTACAAAGGAGCAAAACAATTTTTTGGCCTCGCCATCAGAACTGGAAGCCTGGGGACACCACTTTGCAGAAGGGTTRAGGGTGTCTTTTTTCCTCTGTATTTTTTCTGTCATGTCTCCCTTCTAATTTTTTTTCCAGAGAAAGAAGAATTGTTCCAGAATTTATTGGGACAGATTGCTGAGCAGTTCTCAAGGTAAGAAACTGCACATCATTATTAATTTAAAATGTTATTTCTTTTATCAGCCTGAAGTGAAATTTTCACAACAGGCAGAGGTGCATTTAAGACATCTTTCAAATCCCACTGCCTGCCRAATTTAGGTCTGGGACACATTATTTCCTGCTGACAGCAATACAGTAGCTTAAACCAAAAGTAATTTCAGTGATTATCTTTGATCTAAAAGGAGATCAAGCAGTAAAAGCTTGGAAGCAAAAGAAATGCTTCTTCGTTGAACAGTCAAATCATCAGATTTGTTTCATTTTCCCCTTTATCACCCAAAAATGTTTCTCCTCCGAGAGGATTTCTCCACATCTGTGTAGCTGCTTATTTAATCCCAGCTGGTTTCAATAAGACAGATCAGTCCCACCACAACCCAGCAAATCACCAGCGTAACTCGACAGGAGGGGAGGAGGTTTCAGAGAGTGCAGACMCCAAGACGCTGCTCTCAGATGAAGCATTATCAATTTAACTTGGCTTTCCTGGGGGGTACAGTAGCAAGTCACTGCTGAGAAAAGGGGGGATGAAATGTTGTGGAGCCACAGCACATTCCCAGGGCCATTAAAAAAAAAAAAAAAAAAGTCACTTGCTGTTAATTTTTCTGAAAATTAAGCCCGGGTGTGTTTTCTGCCCAGATGTTAGCATTTCCATGGAAAATTTGCTTTTCTTTATGGCAAACGTGGCTGGGCAGATCAGTCATAGAGACACAAATATGGATATTTCCAGCAGAAGTTCTTAGCACCTAGGGTAGGTAGARCTTTGCATGTATAACATTAATACATGAGGGTTTTCTTTCCAGGGTTTTTAAAATCAATGAGCTGAAAACGGAAGTAGCTAATCACTTGGCAATGCTGGAGAAAAAGGTTGAATGTGAGTGTCCCTTTATTCCTATCACAGTGGGAACTGGTGCCTTCTTGTGCCCTCTGATCTGTSCTGCTCCTCACAGTCCCTCCACTTTCTCTAATCCCTTGTAACTTGGCCATTTTTGAGCCCAAAAAGCCACAGATCAGCCCGTGGTGAGGTATGGGGAAGGTGGGGCCCGTGGTGGCACTGGTGTGGGGACCAGGGTGGGCTGGCTGGTGCTGCCAGCATCCAGASCACCTCCTGTCCTCCCCTTCAAGGKGCTGCTGAGCCCTACACTGARCTTTGGGGCCTGGGGCCAYRTCCTGCTGTTCCCATATCCCTGTGGCAGAAGGGCTCCACCACATCTTGCCCATCTCCACCTCCCAGCCCCTGGCCAGCCCTGCCATGTCCCCCCTGCCCCAGGTGTCTGTCACCTCCCTGCAACCAGCAATGACCCCCCTTTCCTGCACTCCCTGATCCTCTAACGCTGGGGCACCTGATCCCACCCTCCCYGGGGCATTTGGTCTGTAATTCCAGGGGTAACACCCTCCTTCCTTGCACCATAACACCTCCATATTGTTACCAAGTTGAATTCACCCAGTCAACAAGCTCCCTTTCTATTTTTTGGGTTGTTTTGCTTCCCCCTGTGCTGCCTCGGACTTATTTCAGTAGATTATGCAGAACACAGGTCCCAGAGAGATAGGGAAGAGGTATGAACAAGGTACTGCCATCCAGTTTGACTCCAAAGGCCACATCCTTGTGGATGCTCAGCACTGAAGTCAGGAGCAGGGAGAGCCTTTCCCAGCACTACAGCTGCAGAATGCACTTTCCCACTAGAACTAGCTGGAAAAAAATGTTTCTAGTTTTTCCTGAAACTTCCCCTGACCAGAAGCTACCTTGMCCCTGCAGCTGCTTGGGGAGACTGATCCCATTGTCAGCAGGGAGAGGAAGAAATGTCCTCATTTGAAGAGCAGCTGCAGGGAAACCTCTCTCTGTGGCCACCTCAGCCTCAGGCTCCTGCTGCTGTGGGATATCCATGGAGGGGACAATCCCCCAGAAAGGAATCTAGGGATGAATTCCTCCCTGTGTGTTTGGCTGATGCCTCTCCCAAAGCTGTGCTGATTTATTTTTTGGGGGGTGAAAAATAAATGTAAAAAAAAGAGAAAAAGAAAAATTACCCCAGTCACTCTGCATTTCCAGTGAAACTTCTGACCAGCTCCAGTCCTCAGGGCTAAATGCCATGGATTAGAGCAAATGAGGTAAGCCTGTGGGTCTTTGTATCCCCTTGGCAGCCAGAGCAAGCAACTGTCCCAGCCAGCTAAAGGCTGCTTTTGGCCTCTGGTGAACCCTCTGGGTTCCCTGACACACACTCTGCCTGGCAGCTCTGGCAGCTCACGGYGCTGGAGGGAGATAACCAAGGCATTCATGCCATTCCTGGCAGGGAAGAGCTGAGCACTCACCCACTCCAGCCCTTCATTGCTGGGCACCCATCTGCTCTGAAATGGACTTCCAGAGTTCGCAGCAGAGCCCAGTTTGTGACATTCTAAAATAATTCCCCGGGCTTGTTTAAAAAGCAAAACCGTGGGAGAAAGGGAGTGTCCAAGCTCCCTGCTGGAGCTGGGCTCCCTGAGGTTGCTCTGAGAGCTGTGTTTCACTGCTGGATTCAGCCCAAGGATTTCTTTAGACAGAACAGGGTCTTTTCAGAAGGTATTTCTTGYTGCAGAATAATATAATGGGCCCTTAATCAGCACACATGACAAGGCTGTTTATCATTTGCAAGCCAAATGTGGAAAGAATTGTGCTTTTATTTTCCCTTTTTTCCTCCTCCTTCAGAGATCCCTTTTCCACTACTTTCACATGTGCTCTCCAGGATTTCTTCCCCAGAGGGGACATGTGTGTGGGGAGAAGTGCTTGTGACAGCACTGCATCTGCACCTCACATGAAAAGATCTCAGCTTCCTTCCCATTCCTGCCCAGAAACTGCATCAGAGATGGGTTTTCAGGGAGCCAAATCTTTCAGCTGATATTTAAATCCCAGCTAAAGCTTGTCAATTCTCCTTGGAAAATGAGTACATGCAGAGGAATGCTTTGTCCCGTGGCTTGACTTACTCTGCACAGCAGCCCACACATGAACAAGGGAGCTGGCAAAAAAACCCTTGGCAATTTGCAAGCATTTCACATCTACCTTAAGAAAATAATTATGTAAATTCTCTGCTCCCCCTGTGAGATTTGGGATGAAAACTAAAGAGATGCAACACAAAAAAAAAAAAAAAATGCTCAGGGCTTCTACTTTGCACCAGAACTCCTCCCTGCAGTTGCCTGCTCCACTTCTCTGATAACTCTGCTTGGCTCCCACTGCTTTAAATAGGCACTGGCCACCATTTAGACATCTTGGCAAATGGGTTATCCATGAATTTCTCCCAGATGAATGCACCCAGGTGGTGCAAAGCAACACAGGGCCTGCAGCTGATCATCAGCAGCTGGACAAAGCACCCTGAAAAAGTGCGGGCAGGTATCCAGAATGAACATATCCAAGAAGCAGGACAGCAGCTTGCCTGTATCACTACATTGTGATCACCCAAAGAGGTTGCCTGTCACAWTGACGGACAAAAAAATATAATGTTATTATAAATTATAATATTTATATTATTATATAACATATTGTTTATAATATATGGTATTTATATATTTATARTATTATGGATATAAATTTCTAAACGAGATTTGTAGGCAGCAGGCAYGCCTGTAAACAAGCATAAATCAGCCTCCTTTCCCTTTCCTCTCCTAATATGTGGCATTCTGGGCTCAGTTYATACACATCTCGTCCTCTTTTCCCATTTCCAGCTGCAATCTCTGTTGTTACTCTCATAAAGAATACAAAATCAAGGTCTCTGCTTATCTGCAGAGCTGTGCCCTTCAAGGCAGGGCTTTATCACTTACATGCTGCTCTCCAGATAAGCGTGATCCAGACTGTGATTTTCTAAGAAAGTTGCTGAACACCGATTGTCCGATTGCACGTTCCCTTGAGCTCTCCCAGAGCCGCAGCTCCTCCACTCAAACCACGAGCTCAGTAAACAAATGAGCTGTGAAATGATTGCGTGTGAATGACAGGGACGTAATAAATGGTGCTGTGTCCTTGATCACACTGGCGGTTCAATGAGGGGGAAAGAAAAGGGAGAATCGTTCTCATGCTCTCGCTGCGTTGGGCTCTCACGTGGGATAAAGTGCCTTGCTGCATTGAAAGGCAATCAAACTTTTTGCCTCGTGGCTCTCGCAATCACACGCAGAAGGTGAATATAGGATTTTCTGTGCCCCATGGAGAAATAACCTTTGATTAGGGGATTGATCGGCAAAAAGAAGTGACAGGTTTTCGATACTTCTAAAAAAAAAAAAAAAAATGAAAGAAATCCATCATTAGAGCCAAATTTTCAACATTTTTCTTTCCCTCCTGCATTCTCGCTTTGGTTTTTCTGTATCCGACAATGGSTCTCAGAGCTCCTTAATGCTCTGCATGAACTTTCGAATTAAAACCTTTTATCTTAATGGGAATTCTAATCCTACCGGGACGTGCTTGCATAGCCGCGCCTATCATCCCATCACGGGAGGGGTTTTTTTTTGCTCAGGATTTCCTCTGATTCGTGCTCTACAGCCGAGAAGTGAAGGCACCAGAAGAGCTGCCTGCTGCTGTGAAAGAGCCGAGATGTTCTAGCCATTCAGTGAATTAAAATACCGTGGCTGTTATCTGCATTGGCAGCAGAGAATTCCTGTGGGTTTCCAAGATCTCTGGCTTTGGCAGCACCTGCACGTAGGAGAGCCAAACCCTCGCAGGCTGCTTCACTGGATAACCCCACTGCCAGAGCTCTCTGAAATTCTGCACTACTGTGAAATGAAATCCTGCGACTTTTTGCCATGGTAACACCCCTGTTGTTTTCCTTTGTTGACAGTGGAAGGGCTGAAAGTGGTGGAGATTGAGAAATGCAAGCGCGACATTAAAAAGATGAGGGAGGAAATGGCAGCAAGAAGCAGCAGGTAAGTCCTGCTTGGGACCTAACCACAGGAATAAGTGTCTGGTTTCAAACCCTAATGCAACATTTCCACAGAATTATCTCCTGGGATTAGAAGTAAAAGAGCAAGGAAACCAATAACCATCAAGGACAGGGTCTTTGATTTAACATTTGAAGATATATAGCTGTTCACCAGTTAAATTAGCTTGGGCCATGGGAATAGAGAAAAAGRTCTTGGGAGTTGTCACCACACAGAATGGGAATTCTTCACCCAGATTTACAGGAGAGAGGGAATGGGAAAAGAAGTTCTGCAAAGTGTAGTTTTGGTTGGGAACCAGCTAACGCTCAAATCAGCTCCAATATATTCTGGGAAATTACCAAATAAATATGTAGCAGCTCCTCTAATTATGATCTCATGCTATTATAAATCATYCGTTTCAAATTCAACGAGAAATTGGGAATTTACTTTCTAATGCAAGGGCTCATTGTGATGGTGAAGCTYGCTTTTGCTGTAATTAAAACACAGCAGAAAAAATTATGTTTTGTATGGTACGTGGCTCCAGCTGGAAAATGCTCCCTGTGCCAGTGAAATGCCCCATTTGGATTAACAAATCATCACTGTGAGATTGGGAATACTTCTGGGGAGGTTGCTGAAGAGGAATATATCCTACTGCTCAAAATGTGGATGAAAGGGATTTTTCACACCAAATGGAGCTGTGCCGAATTGACTGTCTCTCTTGGGGTCAAATTGTCTGACCTTTAATCAAAACTGTTTACTACTGAGGGCAATGGGAGATGTACTGAAACATTCAGGCTTTATAATCACTGGCTTTTGTGAATGTTGCCATCCAGATGTGTCAGGAGGCACAATGATAATGCATTCCCACGAAGTCCAAGGCCAAATTCAGCTGTCACATTAGCATAATCACAGAGTAACATGATTAACCTCAGATGTGTGCCTCAGATTTATCCCAGCAGGATGGAACACAGTTTGCCCTGTGACTTGCATCATTTCTTGTTGGGGTGTRTGGGGGAAAAAACTCACTAGAAAAATCCGAGTCCAGGTTGGCAGCAGACACAAGAGTGTGTGTGCTGATTTGTTCTGGGTGTGATGTGAGAAATTGTGTGTTCCCGCATGTCTTTCCTTCAGCTGTGGTAGGGAACTGGGAGAGCTGAGCTGTGATGCACAGGTGGACAGGGAATTAGATCCCAAAAAAGAAGTTACAGCAACTTCACRTTGGCTCAGTTGCCACCACACCACATCAGGAAGTATGAGACTGTCCCAGCAGCCGTGACTCATTGCCATCCCAGATCCTGTCACCTTCCAATCRATATTTTGTGATACAAACAACAACCTGTTAATAAGAAAAGCAGAATGGAGAGCGTTGCATCTGCTCAGTGCAGCCAGCTCCAGCTGGGGTGTCATCTCCACCGAGGGTGAGATGTGACAGGCTCCAAAAGCAACCAGGACGGGGTGTGAGGCTGGAAATCTGTGGGAAAAATAGGTGTGGGGCTCMGCTGGGCACAGACACCCAGCCTGGCTTGCTCTGAGCTCACACYCACAGCAGGAGCGGGACTTGCTCTGCTCAGCATCACTTTGGTGCTGTGTCCATATGGCTCCTCTTGGTTACCCTGAGCTGCATCTTCCTCCTCCCAGCTGCTCAAAACCTCCTCCTGCTCGCCCAGAATTCTGCCCTTGATTACCTGYACCCTGTGGGTTTGGGTGTCAGTTAGCTGTGGGTACAAGACTGAGGAGAGGACAGTCCTTGGTGGTTCCCATCAGGAGCTGCTGAGGAACGAGCTGTGGTTCCCTCTTCCCAAGGCACCACAGCCCCATGGCAGTGATGGTGGTGACCCCAGCTAGGGATGTTTCCCTCCAGGGTGGCTGACAAACCCTCTCCCACTGCCATGAGRTTTATGTGGGAACAGAGGCATCCCAGGGAAGTGGATATGTATTTCCCCCCACTTAGATTCATCATCCCTAGTGCAGTGTTATTTGCTCGATAACGTGGCTGCAATTAGGGATCGCATCTAAGTTTAATTAATATACGTAAATATATGTGAGTGCCTACATTCCTTCAATAAARTCACAGCAGTCTGTATGTTTACTATTTTTATATTTGCTGTTACATTACCAAATGGGAGAGTAAGGTTGAGCAGTCAGGTTTATAAAAGCACACTGAAACGTGCATCTCTCTTTCCAGAAGAGCAAAGCAGCTCCATTTGCATCCTTCTTGAATTGCTTTTTGTCTTGCTTGTCTGCTTTTTGAGCTCACCGCTGGCAGATGCTAATAGCATTATGGTGTCATTTAAAATCATGACAATTTGCAGATATATTTGTGAAGGTCTGATGCATCCTGGGCTCTGCTGGGCTCCCCAGCATGCTGGGATGAAGGCTTCAATGTCCTGCTGCAGCTGGGAATTAGAGATAGCTGGCTGACCTTCAGCTAACCCTGGCAGTCAGCTCCAATTAGGGCAAGGAATGCCCCAATCTCACTATTTTTATCCTACTAATACCCCACACAGTGGAGTTTTGAGGAAACAGCTTTAGAAACGATTAAGACAGCTTTTCATCAACTGAGAATCTCCTTAAACAGGGCAGAGAAAGGCATCTGGTTGAAGTCAGCTGACCACTGTGAACTGTGAAATGACATAACTTTCACAGGATTCAGACAGTGCCATCAGAAATCAAGGTTAAAAGGAGAAAAGGGACCTAGACTAATTCCCAATAGAGAAGAGAATCACTGAAAAGATGCACAACATAAAATAAAAGAAACAATAAAATATGGACAAATACAGTTAACGGAATGCTTTRTTTGGCTTCTTTTGGGAGGCTTCTTTCTGCTTCCTTTGGCAGGGGGCTTGAAAACTGAGAAAGGACAATCCAAATGTTAGGACTACAGGGAYAAATCCCTGGAAGTGTTCAAGGCCAGGTTGGATGGRGCCCTGAGCAACCTGATCTTGTGAGCAGCATCCCTGCCTGTGGCAGGGCGGGTGGAGCTGGATGRCTTTTAAGRCCCCTTCCAACCCAAARCATTCCRTGATTCTATAAGTGAAGATCAGCCTCACATGAGAGAGAATAAAGYCCATGTGGAAAAGTTCCTGGGAAAAGGCCTCCCAAAGCAGCAAATCCAACCTATGACTGATTCTTACCTTGTCACCCAGCCCAGAGCACTGARTTCCACATCCAGTCGTTCTTTAAACATCCCCCTCCAGGGATGGYGACTCCACCACTGCCCTGGACAGCTCCTTCCAATGCTTGACCACCCTTCCAGTGAAGGAATTCTCCCTGATGTCCATCTTGTCCCTCCCCTGGCTCAGCTTGAGCTCATSTGGGAGAAGAGCCTGATGCCCACCTGACTGCAAACCTCATCAGGGAATCGTAGAGAGGGATAAGGTSCTCTGCTCAGATGGGACAGCATTGGCTTCAGCTTGGCTTTTCCACATGCAGAGGAAGAAGAGTAGATGACTGGCTGGTGTTAATAACCAGGCAAGGGTTAATTACCTGTAATTGCTGGCAGTGGCTCCCTCCAGGATTCGAGCAGAGTTGTCTGCCGAGTCTGTGCCTCTCTGCTGCTGTCCCACATGAAAGGCAGCAGGCAAGAGGTGACACCATTAAAGTGGAAGGTTTTGTAGGCTGYACTAAGGCTCAGTGGGTGTCTTCACCCATAAATCAGCACAGATGTGCCACTGTCCACAGCCAGCGTGGTCCCTGGCAGCCTTGGAGAAGGACATCTGTCACAGACAGCAAGCTGCTGGCTGAAAGTTCCCGGGTTTAAGGAGAAGTGGTTGGGTATCCATGGATACATGGCTGAACTGAGATGCCTCTCTCTTGAATGCAAATAGACAAGAAAGGGCAACAGGGGTTTTGCACAAGGGGAGAAAATCCTGAAGAGGATCATGCTATCGAAGCGTTTGAACAACACCACATGAAAGAGGGACGGGTTGTGGAGTGGGGCAGTTCTCTGAGTGGTGCCTACTGGGACACCAGAGCACTTCTGGCATTTTCTGAGGCACTGCAGTTCTGTTCCCTCAATGTTAAGAGATGAATGTTTAATTTCAGGACTAACTGTCCCTGCAAGTACAGCTTTTTGGATGAGAACAAGAGGCCAGCTCCCCGGCGGGATGTGCCATCCTACCCAAAGGTACCACACAACCCTTGCCCTCCCCATAACCCCCGTGCATGGCTGTCATCCTGACAAGTGCTGCTTTACACTGTGTGTGTGATTCCTTAGCCATTAATTCCCAGTTATTCTAAATCCAAGACCTGATCCAAAACTCCTGCGAGCCAATGGAAAAAGCTGTCAGTTGCCTGCGGTGACTTAAAGTTTAATTCTCAGTGGTCTTTAATACTTGAAAGCTCATTAGTGTTTGAAATGTTAATGAACRTTGTGCATTCATCAACATTTAAGACTCTTTTGTCTAGTTATATTTGTTTGTTCTCCATGCTCATAGCAACAATCAAAACCACCCTGTAATGCTGTGTTCTAATTGAAAGTAGCGCTGCTGCCTGCTTTCTCCTAATGGATTATTTTTTAATTTAAAAAGTAATTTATGGGGATGCTTCACCTAGGGAAACAAAGAGAAAATGCGGCATTGGATTGTCTCCAGAATGATTCATTGTCCCTGTATTTGCTGGAGAAAACAGTAATGCTAGAAGAAAAATGTCTCCTGGGCAAGTACAAGTACAAATCCACAGTGATGGATGAGGCTGGAACCAKGAAGAGCACAGGGTCTTTGGTCCCAGGACTGGCAGTCTTTGCCCACAAGAATTATTAAAAGCTGCCAGGWTATGCCTGCCCAGCTCAGACCTTGACAAAACACCAGCTCACACACGTGCAAATCATGGTTTACCGTGGGCATCTCCTTGCACCCACCAAAGCTGACTCAGCCGCCCCAAATCCTCACTGAACTGCATGATCCAGGTCTGTGACACAGACGTGGCTCTGTGCACATTTGTCTCCAGAGCCTTGCAGAGCCATGAGTTGTAAATTCTGCTGTTTATTCTCACAAAAGTGACCTCAGGTCTCTGAAGCAAAGGCCCGTGGGACTTCTATTTCTTTTAATTAACTTTTGCCCRGGAGGCTTGTGCTCCTGACATGAACACATGGTTTCACAGAACACATCAGTGCTAAACCAGGTTTTTTCCCCTGATAAGAATATGTGTCAGATTAAACTTTGATGGGCTACTGCATCAGGATCTTGAAWTAAGAATAAGGGCTACAAAGAGTTGCTCTGACCCATTGCAGAGTAAACTGGTAGTTTGTATTTCTGCATTATTCCCAGACCAAAGCTCATGGGAGTGTGGGGTTTTGGAGGTTTGTGATATTTGTTATCAGTTGTCAGGTGCTGGATTTGTCCAGTGTCGGTGAGGCTGAAAGAAGCTGTCACTACAACACCAAATCTCTACTGCTAATTCACTGTTTGCTTGCAGAAAGTCATACTAAATGTACCTTGTATATGCAAATGCAAAACTCCTTGCCTTCTGAAGGAGGAAGATTAATCTTCTGTGTTGTTCCTCCTTGGATTAAGTATCAAACAATTTGATGGCTCAGAAATTGTCATTCATCTGCTCAGCATAGTAAACCCATGAGAGAGAGACATGGTAAATGGGCCAATTGAAGCCACAAGGCTTTTGAATCCCAATACCACTGATAAATAGAGTTCTGAAAAGATGAATCTGTAGAGTCCTGATATCCCCACGTCTTTTAACCCTCCACATTCCTTTTTTTTTTTTTAATTTTGTGTACAACCATAGCTGGTGAAYGAGCTCGATTTTGTTTTAAGCTTCTGAACATAATGATAAAAAATCACTTGAATCTTGCAGGCTGACAACCAATTYGAAACTGTGGGCACTCTTGAAAAAACACTCAAAACGGGAGCATAAATCATCTGAAAATAAACATATCATACCCACCAGCTAATTTAGCACTGTAAGCAGAGACACTTCACACCACCCCTCCCTACCTGGCATCTTTGAGTGCTGCTGATGCTCTGCAGGCAGCAGAACCAGTGCAGCCAAGGCTCTGTGCCTTTGAATCCCCATGCTGGATTGAGCCATGATTCTGTCCCTAACACCTCCACTCTCCCTTTTCTCCCAAGCCCTGCACTCCCAGCTCCACAAGGATCAGCCCCGACCAGCAGCTGGTGGGAAGGGCGAGGAGTGTCAGGTGGCCAGAGGGAGAGATCACTTGCTCTCACCTTGGGAATTGCTGCTAAACCCCTCATGAACAGAACCCTGGGATTCCCAAGGACATTCCAACAGCAATTCCCATGGCAGGGACACTCTTATTCACACCTCCTGCCTTTCTGTCTGCAGTACATGCTGTCCCAGGAGACCATCGAGGCGCTGCGGAAACCAACCTTCGACGTCTGGCTGTGGGAGCCCAACGAGGTGAGGACGCCACATTAGCTGGGTTGGCCCTTTCTGCGAGCCAGTGAGGCCAGAAGAGCTCTTTGAGACAATCTGCAGGGATTTTCCCCCTTTTCTGCCCCTTACCTTCTCTACATTTTTTTTTTTTAATTTCCACACCACACCAGAATGCAGTGCTTCATCCAGGTAGATTGTGCTGTTTATCACACCCTGGCTCCTCTTAATTTGCTCTTTAATCTCTTCCTACTAAAGTCTCTCAACTGGTGCACTGTCATTACTGCCACACGAGTTCTCTCRTACCATTTTATCCGAGCAAATCAATCCCCAGCCAAGTGTGTGCTTAAGCACATCATCAATAACTCCACTCAAATCAATAAAGCAGCAGGCAGAGGTGCAGGCATTGATTCACAACTCTTCAGCTGAGGGTTTTTCTGCAGTTTGTCCTGGAGAGTTTGCGAGGCTGCATTCACAACCAATTAGGATCTTCTTGTTTCTTCATTTTCTTCTTTTTCTTACTGCTGTTAGTGTTATTCGTGGTCCACCACTTGTACTGCAGAAGGTTCTGGAAGCTCCACATGTAAATCTCTTTAGAAAAGTGAAGGAGAAGGATGTTAAGAATGGACAGCTTAAAAAAAAAAAAAAAAAAACCACAAAAAACCAAAAAACCAACAAATTTAGCAAATACCAGCAAATCTCACTTAAGAAAAATGTAAGGGAGGACAGGACTACACCAGGAGTTTTGTGCTGTCTTTCTTCCAGGGAAAAGCTTGGGTATTTCTAGCAGCACCCCCAACAGCAATCACCTTAATTATCTTCTAGATAGGTGATATTATCTTCTAGAGGTGGTGCATGCAGAGTCATTCTGACGCAGCAGAGCAAGGGAAAACACCCCACACCACATCCAGAGGAGMAGCATATTCCCTTTAGGGTATTTCCTGTGTCTGGTAGAACAGAAGGGCTCTCTGGTGGCTTTAGGTCCATCTTCCATTCMCTGAGGCTGGCAGAGCTTTCCTCATGAGGTCAGAGATGCTCTGCAGCCACTGCTCCCTCTCCAACCCCTTTTCTCTCTACCAAGGCCATAAATTCCTGTCAGGTTTTAGCAGCAAGAGGGAATTACAATCTGACAGGTGGACCATAACGCYGCCGGCTCATTGGTGTTCTGGCTATTAAGAAAGAATTTATAGAGACAAAAAACCATTGTCCACGGATTCCTGTGGGCTGGGGGACAGTCCTTCAGCACAGTAATTCATTCAGAGGGCTAGGAAACACTACAGGGGGGCATGAGCAAGGCAAACAGGAGGGCGTGGGGATTAAACTTGCCCTGCACAGAGGAGCCTGCTCAGAAATGAGTTTCCACACAAGCTGCGTTGAGCTGAGCGCCATATGGGTTTATCTCACCCTCTCAGCTCTGCTGGGTGTTTACAGAGAATATTTCAGTTCTGCCAGGGCTTGTTTAGCAGTGAGTGTTTGCCCACGTGCTCAGTGTGGGACAGGCAGGTCATAAAGCASAGTCATCTGTAAGCAGATGAATAATGTGCTCTGCAGCATCTCAGCAAGCAGAGCCTTGCAGCGAGCCTGTGTCCTCCTCCTCAAATGCCCTCTCACTTTTCAAGCCTTAAAAGGGTCCCATATTCGGGCTTTTACTGCTGGCCAAGAAAGCTAAATGTGAAAACTGAGGGGCAGGAGTTTTGGGGCTGAGAGTGGCCTCATCACTCACCCAAAGCTCTCTTGGCAACAGCTGCATTTCTAAGGGTAATTCAGCACTTCTGGGTAGAGTTTATTGTCTTGGAAAGTCTTCTATGAAACTATTGCAAAACATATATTCTACCAGGAAAAAGGTCTCTTCATATGCATGTGATCTGAGCAGAATTCAGYTCATGGCATTGTCCCTCAGGTCCTGCAGCAAAGTCTCTTCCTGTTTGGATGACTCAAAACCAGCCCCGTTGTTACTCCATGAATGATGTTTATTCCCTGGATAAATATAAAGTTTTATTAGATTAAATCTCTTTTTTTTTTTCTTGGTGAGTTTCAAAGAGCCTAAGTAACAGAAAACTGACTGGAAATGTCTCCAAGGCTGTATTTGTGACGTTATACCAATCATTTTGAAACCCCTGGATCGCTTTAGAGTCTAAGAACTGCATTTTCCAGCAGAATGGCCACAATGGCCACATTCCATCCCCTGCAGATTTGGCCTTCAGAGATGGGAATGCAGATTTATAAACTCCTGAACTCCAGGAAGCCTGCTCATTTCTGACTGATGGAAGCTATTCAGCACCCAAACACTTGACATTATCACTATATTTTGTTTCCAATTATTTCAAGTGTAGATGATTAAATGTGAGGGCTGGTGCTAAATTACCTGCATCCCMCTTCCTGCTGCAGAGCCGGTGTTGTCTCAAAAGAGCTGCCTGCCCTTGCATTTCAAATATTGGGACTCACAGCTTCCATGAGATGATAAAAAAACTGCTGCAGTTTTATGGGGTTATAATGGGAAATCTTTTAAACAAGGAATCTGAGCTAARATAGCAGAGTGAGGAGCTCACAAGAGGTCATAAAGAAAGAAGGTATTGACTCATGCCTGGAATAAATGTTTCTTTAGGGAGCTCTTATTTTCTATCCAGCTGGAGCCTGATCCATTTCTGTACAGCCAGGGAAAAGCTCCCACTGATTTCACTGAGCATTAGAACACATCCCAGCTGAATTAGAAAAATGGCAAAAATGGCAATCTCCTTTTTTTGGGTTTTTTTTTTTTGTGAGCAGGAATTGCTGTGGTACCCACGAATCACAATTACTGAAGGGTGCTGGTGTGATATTCAAAGCCATGCACAAAATCTGTGAAGTCAGCAGCGGCGTGCCTGCTTCAAAAAGCTTTCAGACCCTCTCTGTCTCCCCTCTTGCAYTTTCTTTAATCATGCAATCTTTGAACATCTTTCATCTAAAGAGGGCTSTGCAATTATTTGGTGCTTGCAAAGGGAAAATTCACGTCATGGGGTATTCTAAAGGGATATTTACAGAGCCAACAATAACCTGYCTGTTCCTGGCTGCAGATGCTGAGCTGTTTGGAGCACATGTACCACGACCTGGGGCTGGTAAAAGACTTCAACATCAACCCTATCACGCTGAAGAGGTGGTTGGTGAGTATTTAAGTTACTGGTGTTTCCAGTTTTTCACTTGATTCAAAAATCAAATCCTGTTGATTCAAAAATCAACAAGCAAGACATTTAGTCATGGAATTAACATGACTCGCATGAGTAATCCCWCTGAAAGCATACAAATTCTTACAATTTAAGTACTTCAGAAAACGTTGGCATTCTTGTGATCACAAATGACTCTTTTTTTAACTTTAATGCATTCATCTGCTGAAGTTTCTATTACTGAAAGCAGTTAATTTCTGCTGAATGCTCTTGGTACCTACTGTAAATGAAGGCAAGACAAGTGTTTTCAGATATARCTAAAAAGTGCCAATATGTGCAATAATCATTCAGTGTACTAAATCATGGGGAGTAAAAGCACAAGTCAGGAAGGAAAAAGAATTGCTGAGAAGGTAACTTTTTTTGCTTCAGTCTTTGATGTGAGAATGTTGCAGAGATGCAAAATGAGAGAAAGATGAGATCATACCAAAAGTGAAATGTCTGAGTAAGAAACACCAGAATATTTTAAAATCAATGACTTTTCAGGTCCAAGGGAGAAGATAAAAAGGTGTTTGCTAAAAAGCTGAAGAATATATTGGCTTTCTTAAAAAAAATCATGTTCTTAGAGGACTGTAAAACAGTAAATATTTTATTTATTGTTTAAAAAGGACCCAGGGATAGCCTCAAGAATAACTAAAAACTTACCTCTGTGTCAGACAAATTTATTTAGACAACAATTAAAAAATCACTGTGTATTCATTATACAGATGTTTCATAGGATTCCTGTGGTAAATACTTATATCTCATTAATCTCTTCTAATTACCTGAAGAGTTTGCAGAGGATAGAAGGTTTTACACAATAGGTGCAGACTCCTAAAAYAATTCACAGAATCAGGAAGTGGCTGGAAAAGACAAAGAAAACRCTGGGTTTATCACTCCTGCAATGGCAGGAGGCACATGGGGCTGTCACTGCTGGGTGTCCTCCTGCAGGACAGAGCCAACGGGGCACAAGGCTGAGCAGAACCTGGAAAAAGGCACAAAACATCACCCCAGAAGGCAGAAGGCTCATCTGAAATTTATTCCCAACACTGGTAAAGCCTTTTTTTAGAAAAATAGTACAGCTGCATTAAAGGAGATACCAAAAATGATCAAAAGCTGGTAAATCTCTCTCCGAAGAAGGCACATGAAAAGCTCGGTGGCGTTGACCTTACAAAGCAGCTGAAGACAAGGGGTGGGATGGAACCCGATGCAAACAAGGATAACACGGAGTAGATGGAACAGAAGATCTCCTCCCCCTGTTTCACAGCCCCAAAACATGGGAAGCAAGGTGATATGTCAACACACAGCAACAGGCCTCCCACACTGCAGGCAGCTTCCCCGAGCTTGTGTCTCCAGGCAATTTGTCAGCACTGGCATTTAAGGCAGCCTCATCTGAGCAACAAGGGGAGGTTGTTGTGTGTTTTCTACAACAGGGCGAGGTTTCCTTTCTTAAACCAGCCTCCAAGAAAGAAAGGTGATTTAAAAAAGCCCCAAGGGCTCTGCTGCAAAGTGTGATTCTTCCCCAGGCACAGCACGGGCATCACTTTAAACTGAAGTGGGTGAGGAAAAGCCACCTCGTGCTTGTCCTGGCTTTGTTGCTCCCACATCCTCTGGCTACAGAAACCTTCCAGAACAGAAGGGAAGGATGACTAATGCCACCCAGTCACTCCATCCCTTCAGTGCTCTGAGTCAGGGGTCCCTTGGGATGCTCTGGGCTTCAGAGCTGGATGTAAACATCACATCCATGCAGTTCTGTGCAGTGCCACGTGCAGGCTGTGAAATACTCACCTGGCTGACAACCACACCGTGCCATTCCTTGGCCACTTTAAAATAATGAAATACGTGTCCAAAATCTTTGCTTCAGAATAATCTGAACAGCTCTTTCAAAGAGCCCCCTCAGATTCTGAATAAGCATTGAAATCTGAACAGCTTTTGCAARGATCCCCAACAAATTTTGAATAAGCATTGAAACGCCACAGATTTTTTTACCTTATCATGGCCTTTGAGTTTTGCTAGAAGTGAGGTACAGGGTTAAATGGTTTGATCATGATTGGGCATGAAGACTCATGAAATAAATTCCCTATTTAGATGGAAAAAGGCATGGCAATTCTGTCCATGTCATTAATTCAGGCTCATCAACTGAAGCATGTGCACGAACGAGGGCTCTCTGGGGTCCAGGCAATGGAGGAGGATTCAGCAGGAGGGTCCAGCTTTGTGCAGGACGGGAAACCAAAGGAGCATTGGAATAATGACCGTGGCATGTGTTARCCCAGCTGTGCCAGCCTCCCTCAGCTGGACACAGGGAAAGACAGGCTTTATCCTGGCAGGGGAATGAGGGCACGGAGCCAGGATCTGGAAAAAGCTGAACCACACAGCAATGGCTGCTGTGAGCCCATAACAGCTCAATSTCCCCCAGGCTGCCTGGCACAGGAAACCCAGCCAGGTGTGCTCCAGCCTTCACATCTTCCCTCTGCCAAGCAACACATCCCAAAGTGCCACCCCTGAGTGCTGGCAAGTGAAATATCAGCCCCATTTCAGCATGCAAGATTTCAGAGCTGCAGGTTGCCTTCAGCAGGAGAGGGAGATGGGGGTGGGCTCTGAGCTCTTTACAGCCCCCAAAGTCACCTTTTAGCCACTGCAAGGTTTGAAATACAAATTGGGGATGAGAGCAGAGTCCTAAGGCTGTGATGYAGCTGTGCTGAGGTGTTTGCCTACTGCTGGCTGGTGTGAGAGGAGAGTGCTGTGAGCTTTACCTGCTGGTGAATTCTTGGAACWCAGAAATATCACCCAGAAAGGCAGAGAGTGTCAGAGGCCTTGTGCTGTCACTCTCTGCAAAAAATAATCCTGAGCTCCATAGGATTCCTTCAAGGACACACAGAGCTTGGGAAACATCTCTCCAACCTCTGACAGCTTCATTCCCTCTCTCTGCAGCTGTGCATTCAYGACAATTACAGAAACAACCCCTTCCACAATTTCCGGCACTGCTTCTGCGTGACCCAGATGATGTACAGCATGATCTCGCTCTGCAGCCTCCAGGTACAGCCCCCTCTCCATGGCATCCCCTCCATTTCCATCGTGAAACATGAGCCACTTCTCTTGCAAAATGGGCCACCAGCCTGCTGGCAAGTGGTGGCCTTTGAGGAGTCTGTTCTTGCTCAGTCCCTSTCCCCGAGGAGAGGTAATGGAAAATTGCATTTCCACCTCTGGCTGCCCACTCAGCCATCCCGTTCCTGACTCCAAGCACCCACACAGCTTTCTGAGCTTGCTGGGAAGGTAACTTCACCTCCTGGATATCCAGAATTTGTCCATTGTTGGAGTAAAAATTTAGGAATGACGGCCAAACCCCCACTGAATTATAGTCGGTGGATAGAGTCTTCATCTGGGACACAAAATGTTCTCATAAGAGGTTTTCTCCAAATGTGTGCTTATACCTGTGTTTGGACCTGTAGCCTGGCATGTGTTGTATGCAGAACACTCATTTGGCMTTTATTTTGTCCCAAACTGTAGGCATCAACTCATTTCACTGTCTGGATAACCTGCACTCATATATTCATTTCATTTCTTTRCAAAACTGCTTTTATTCACTTTAAAAAGCTTCTTTCTTCTCCATAGTTAAACAAATCAATTTCTGGCCTAAGTCTGTTTTCTTGCCAGTAGCACTATGAAGAAAAATTTGCTTTAATGTGAGTCCATGCTATTCAAAAGCTGAGGGAACACAGCATTTAATTTTTCCTCTCCCTTTTCCTAACTTCAGCTAATGCAGAATTCAATGGCAACTGAGCCATCTTTCAGCCCTCCCTTAACGAATCAGGGTGCTCAAATGACTTGTAAGAGACTGAACTAATGCCTCAGTGCTTTTTTATGATCTCTGCAGTAATAGCAAGCTTCAAGAAAATTGCCTCCTCTGAGCTGCTGTTATTTAATGTAACAAAAGCAAATCTGAGTCATTTTTACTGGAAGGGAAGKCAGATTTCTCTTTCTTGGCTGAAGTAAATTCATCTGTGGCAAAATGCTTCATTTTGCTCAGATTTGCATTTCTCTAAAAAGTAAACACGTCTGGTTTCTTTATTTCTTTTCATTTATGGGGATGGGGGAAGTAGAAATCACCATACCACATTGGTGTTTTGTATTTCACAGGAGAAATTTTCCCAAATTGACATTTTGATTCTCATGACGGCAGCGGTRTGCCATGACTTGGACCATCCAGGCTATAACAATACGTAAGTCTGTTCTCTTGCTTCCACTTCCATTAAAATTTATTGGGAAGGTAATACTGGTTGGCGTTTTTGRGTAGATCAGGTTTTCTTTCTCACAGCTTGACCTTTTCCCAAGGCTCTGCTGTTCACTCACATGTGGGCCAAAGCAGAGCTCRGGTCTGGGTTGGGGTTTGCCAGCTGTCCTTGGTTCTGTAAGGAAAGTTTTTCAGATTTCTATTCCAACACTTTCTCCCACGACTCCTGAGAAAACAAGGTAAAATACTTTACAGCTGGTAACAGAGCAATAAATTATTATAATGGAATAATTACACTAAAATTCTAAGGGGGACTAAGTTTACATGTTATTTCATAATTATAAATCATGAAATGAATATTACTTTACTTATTATCATGTGAGGAAATTATTGCCATTGTCCCACRGACACTTCTGTGTGCATGTGAAAAAGATAATATGATTTATTTGAAGCCATTCTTTAAATAAGGGCAAAACCCAGTTCTGATTGGGATCAGTGAGAATCTCTGCATTTGCCATTAGTGGGGGTTGAATTAAACCCAAATAGTTCCTTCTGCTTTTCTTCTATGTAATTTTAAACTRCAGAGATGTRGTAAAATTYAAAGAAAGAAAARAAAATCTATAGGGGAATGTTCATCCACTGAGAGGAATCAGCGCCTGTGATTATATAAAAGTAAAATCTATTTTCTCTGAAAGTCTGGTTTAACACCACCAACAAAAAAAAAAACGAATTGCAGCTAATTGAATAAGCATTGGAAAGGGTGTAGGTGAGGGAAAGCAGCGTGGTAGGGTGCATTCAGGAGATTTTTGCTGATGGCTTTCCCTGCCCTCAGCTACCAGATCAACGCGCGCACGGAGCTGGCCGTGCGCTACAACGACATCTCCCCGCTGGAGAACCACCACTGCGCCGTGGCCTTCCAGATCATCTCCCAGCCCGAGTTCAACATCTTCTCCAACGTGGACCAGGACCAGTTCAAACAGATCAGACAGGTAGGAGAGCTGCTCCCTGACACACCCTTCAGAGGATGCAAACACTTCCCTGCTCCACAATGAGAGTGACTCATTCTCCCTCAAGGGTACAGCTGAAAAAGCCCCTTGAGCTGGAAGGATCCGAGAGGGATTCTTGGAAAATGTCCACAGCAGCACTCCCTGGAATGTGTTTCTGAGGAATAATGAGTACATCCTGGCYATTAAAGCCTAGGACATTTGGAGGGGTAGATATTTATATTGTTGAAGGAGCCAGTTAGCTCTAACCGGGGAAGGATTAAGCTCTCACGGCAGAAGTTTGTGCTTTAAGGGAGYGCTGTATTAATTTTAAGAGGGGCTTCAAAAGGGGAAAAAAATTACAGCAGCAGAGCACTWGTGCTGTTGGAAGAGGCTCCAGTGCACTGGGAGCCATCACAGCTATCTCTGAGGCCCTGAAMAATGTTACAATTCCCATTAGAGCCCTGAGGGCCAAAATTCAGTCTTAATTTCCACATTACACCTTCCTCACACAACAAATGAAGAAGCAGACCAGTATAAGGGCTGGTTGGAGTTCCTGATTCTGCCAGCATGTGGGAAACTGGCACAGGGCCAAAATRGATTGTTCTGTATGAAAACCCAAAACTTTAAATTAACCACATGTTTTCCCATCATAAACTCTGCAGAACAGGAAGATACAGAGCTCCTTGACCACATCCAAATGTTTCAAAGCCCTTAATCCAAAGAGGATGGGCACAGCTGGCATCCAGATCATGATTTCTGTCTCTTCTCAGGGCCAGCARAAAAAGATTAAGACTTCTAAGAGTCAGCAGCAAAACCCACAGTGCCTTTCCATGGAGATGAAAGCAGATCTTGGCAGCCAGAGTGTGGCTTTTAACATCCCATTGTACAGTTTGCTTTTCTACAATCAGTCAATCAGAAAGGCAAAAACCTCAGTGCCTCTGGAAGATCACATAACACCCTGATCCTCGTGTACCACGAACTCTTTGTAACCCTCTTCCAGTTTCCTGGCAGTTTCAAGTCAGAAACTTCCCCTTCCAGCATGAATTCAGTGCATCTGAGGCATTTTGTGCACAGGACAGACCCTACTTGGCTCTTGCAGAACAGACTTTGTAAAGAATGTCAAGCTAATATGTGAACATGTTTTCTTTTCTAGGGGATAATTACATTAATCCTGGCTACAGACATGGCGAGACACGCAGAAATACTGGACTCTTTCAAGGAAAAAATGGAAAATTTTGATTACACAAATGAAGAACACATGACCTGTGTAAGGAGGCTTTGTGGATTGTTGTTTTTCTGTGCATGGAGTGAAAGCTTGCAGATTAACTTTTGTTTGTTTAAAAACCAAGATTCAATATATATTATCAAAAAAATAATCCCTCCTACATTCTCTGCCCCACCAAAACTTAATTACAATCTGGAAGTACTCTATATTAAATAGATTATTCCAGCTTTAGAAATCCTGGTGTCCCATCAGGGAAATGAAAAATTTTACTCTATCAGTGTCCTTTTCTGCGGGGCAAAAATATCCACAAGAGTTCAAACTCCAGTCTCCTCTACTTCTGCAGTTGTCTTTGACTTCCAGGGAAATCTTTTCCCAGCTGCCTCTGAGTGCTCCACAAAAAAAAAAATGTAATGGTCGCTTGTGACTGAATCTGTTCATGCAGCAGACAAGGGTGCATCTCACTGTGACACATCCCAGTGCTGCAGACAGGGAAAACAAGGCATGGAGGGGAAAAGTGATTTACACAGAGCAGCTGAGAGAGGGGAAAAGCATCCAGATCATTTAAGACCTCTGGTTTAATCCTGAAAGTGTCATTTCTGGTTGAAAGCATTGCCTCCCACTGCATTGCAAGGTTGTGGGTGAGGGGAAAGGACTGGCTTTAAGGCTGCAGYATTAAAGTATTGTCCTGTTTCAGCTGAAGATGGTACTGATAAAATGCTGTGACATCTCCAACGAAGTCCGCCCGATGGAAGTGGCKGAGCCCTGGGTGGATTGCTTACTGGAGGAGTATTTTATGCAGGTAAGAGTGAGGGAGATGAGCAATTGCACAATTTTCTGCAATTCCCACATCCCACCTCAGCTACAGATGCTCTGCTGTCTGAYAGCCCAGTCTGATTCTAGCTCTCAACTACCTGGTTTAGTGGAAGTTTCCCTGCCCATGGCAGGGGGTTGGAACTGGGACACCTTTAAGGTCCTTTCCAATCCAAACCATTCTATGATTCCATAGGAAGTTTCTAACTCAGAAAAGTCAAAGATGCCAGCAACAGAACCTGCTCAGAAAGCAAATGGGTWCAACCGATTTTTTCTTTTAATCATTAGTAAAGAAGGAGATGTGATTTTCGGTTGGATACCTGAAAATAATGACTCTCTGGAGAATAATGAGGAAATCACAGAACTATTCCTTCTCTCTCAAAGCAGCAAGAGCCATTACCAGCTTTCTAAATGCTCTGAATTATTTTACCTCACAARTCCAGCAGGTTTGCAAAGGGAATTGGACACCTTGCAAATTTTTCACTGGAGGTGAATTCTTTCACGCTGGTGCTGAGCAGAAGCCACTGAACAGAATTCTCTTTATTCACATTTTGCTCTCAACAAAGCAGATRCCTTGGCCTGAGGGAAACACATCTCTGTTCTGTGCTATCTTCAAACACCTCTGTGATCTGTGGCTGAAGGCTACTGATCTGCTTGGTGCATGACTATCCTCACAGCCTTCCAGCCAAGATTAATATTTGCTAACTCTGGGTTTGTTCCAGAGCGACCGAGAAAAATCCGAGGGGCTGCCGGTGGCGCCRTTCATGGACCGCGACAAAGTGACCAAACCCACGGCGCAGATCGGGTTCCTCAAGTTTGTCCTCATCCCCATGTTCGAAACAGTGACCAAGGTAGAGCCAGAAACCCCAGAGGGGAAGAGCAGAGTTTCAGTTTGCCCCACCAGGTGTTTGGTGATCCAAGGAAATTGGGATGTTCCTTCCACACCCCGCCTGCCACCCTGTTTTTCACTGTGTGAAAATTTCACTGTGTTAATTTTCACAATTAAATAATGCAGCAAGTTAAGGAATGCAMAAGGAAATGTTGATATTCTTTCTCTTGTTTGCACCTAGCTGTTCCCAGAAGTGGAGGARGTGATGCTGCAGCCTCTGTGGGAATCCAGGGACCACTACGAGGGGTTAAAACAGATAGATGACGCTATGAAAGAGGTAATTATTAACTCTAATTATCTCCTTGATACAGTAAACATGATGATTGAGTAAGTCAAACATTATAATTAAGCAGCAGCTGAATTCTGAAACAGCGGGAATGCTCATGGTATAATCATTATCCTGAAAAACACATTCCTGACACCTGGCTGGAGAGAGGAGTGTGCCACAAGCAGCCAGAACAAACCCTGGCAGAGCCCACCAGGCTCCACACAAGTGTGGACATGGGAAAGGAGCTGCTTGCAAGGCACAGACCCCAGGGATAACCCCCTGAGGGGAGCACATTGGCAAATGCCTCCCTCTGCAGGGATCTGCCTTCCCTTGGGAAGGAGTTTCCCTGGGCTACCCTGCAGCAAAATGTCCTGGGGCTGGGCAGATCAAGGCTCTGCACCACCAGAGCATGATTTTATTTTCTGGGAAAGAGCTTCTAGYCATGTGTGTGTCATGAAGGATGTGCTTGGCATTTCATGGGGAGTTACCCTATTGTGCAGAGCGTCCAAGGGGATTAAACACACAGGCAGTGAAGCACTTCTATGGTCCCCAAGGGTTCATTTAGGTTTCATTTAGAAACCACATCTCATTTTGACATGTAAGGCTCAGGAGAGGGGGGAATTCTGYGTGGCCACATTTTCTGTCTCTCAGCATTGTCTCAGGAGCCTGGCAGGGCAGAGCCCAGCACCCAGGGCAGCAGTCAGGGGCTGGTCCAGCTCCCTGCTGCCTGTGACAATGGCCCTGCACCCCTTCCTTGCTCACCTCTTCCAGGACCTCCTTTCCCTGCTGAGACCCTCGAAAGAACCTGCCCAAATCACAGAGCAGCGAGTTTCTGACATGAAAAATTCATCATGTAGTCAGGGTGCTATCAGTCAATCCATCACTGAAATAAATTGGGAAGTGCCCTGGAGCACGGTGGTGCTGATATTGTTTGATTTGTGGGTAATGAGGRCTCCTTCCCTGATCATCCATGAGTGGAACAGGAGCTTTGCTACAGCTCCCATCTCCTCCCAAGTGCTTTGGAGGAAAAGCCCCTCAGCAGCTCAACTACTGAGGCTCGTTGATCAAAGAGCACAGGCTTTGAGGGCACAAAGTTTTAAAGGAGAACAAAGTCTTTYGGGAATTTTTCAGTTTAGAGAGGAGCATTTCGCAAACGGGGGCGAAAGAACTCAMATACAACTGCCAGACTTTCTGAGTCTTGTTCATCTTTCAAGTTGAGCTGAGGTTTTATTTCTGGTTTGCAGAAGCTGTCAGAACAGCATTTTTATACAAACTGATGGAGCTTTAATTACAGTRTATTGGCACAAGAGGTCTTAGAAAAATAGGAGCTGCTTGAATTCCAAAATATCCTGAAACAAGAGAATTTAATTAATAATTGAGAGCCTAGTAGAGGAGATGATGACAAAGACTGAGTTCTGTTTGCTCAGGACATTCATCCAGAGCTGTTTGGATGAAACAATGCCTGTGATATTCCAAGCTGCTGCCTATTATTTCCCAGGAAATGTTGCACATGCCTTGTGGAGAGCAGAGCGTGGGACTCAGAGCAGCTCTGGGAGTGTGAGTTTGGGGTGTTAATCCTGCTTTGCTCTTCATTCCAGCTGCAGAAACAGAAAAGTGAAGGTTTGACAACGAGCAGCACTGAAAAGTGAGAGGAAACAACCTTTGAACAAAAAAAACCACGAGCCCTGGGCCACTCTGGTTTTGAGAAATTCTGTGTTTGCCGAGCAGACGTGATGTCTACATCCAAATCCAAGTGGGACCATACAGGGAGAGGTGGCAGGGATGGATCCACAGCCTGCAGAGGCTGCTGCTGCTGCTGGACACCACAGGCTGCCCAGACTCTGGCATCC